GCAAAGTAGGAAACAATGCTACAAATGTACAGTAGGAGATGTAGCACATAATCCTATAGTAGAGATATATATGCTTGTAACTGCAGTCGGTGGAAAGATCATATGATTTTCTACGATTCTCTGAGGCTAGAGTTCAGCCAGGGTCCATCCCAACCCGCAGGCAGGAGCAGAGCAGCTGGGGGCACAGGCACAGCCCCAGCCTTGGGCATCAGGCACCTCCTGAGGACAGGGACGGGCTGAGGCTGGGCCTCAACATGGGCACACGGGTGGGCCCGGCTCAGCAGGGCCCGTGGCTGGGCAGGGCAGAGCTGTGGGAAAATGGAGATGGGCCCTGCGGTGGGGCTGCGGGGACAGGGGCTGATGGCCCCAGGGCTGACGTGGGGGAGCCCCGGGGGGCTGGACAGGCACAGGCAGGGCTGGTGGTGCCATCAGGGCCCTGGCACTTGCGTTGGTTCTCAGTCAGCTGTATTTGGAATGGCAGTCATTTTCTTTTGCTTTCATGTTGCCAGTTTATGCAAAATTAAAGAGTTGATTTAATTTTTTCCTTTGCCTTCTCACTGGAGAACATAAGTCACATAAAGTGATAATTCTAAGCAAAAACAAAACCAGAAGCTAATTCTGTCTGAGAAAAAATATGTGAAGACTTGGGTAATTAAATTGGTAGTAGTTTAATTACAAGTGTGGCTGTAAATGTGTGTTCAGACCAGTTGAAATCACGAGATTTATGATGTTAGGAGACATTAAACTGTCCTTCCTTTATCTTGCTTCTTTATTCTTCTCTTGGAGACACATATATGAACAGATTAAAAATATCTTTATGAAGAGAATGCCACAACGTAAATTGTAAATTTACAGTTCAAATTTCTGAAACTTTGAATGTACTTTTCATTCATAAGTGCAGCATTTGGACTTAAATAATAAAGCAATATGAGAATCAAGCAACAACAAAATTATACAAACAAGTAATCTGGTGTATGATGGAACATTCAGAAGCAAATAATATGCTTAAATTTAATTTAAGTAATAAATGCTTAAATAGAAGCAATGAAATTACTTGTGGTGAGTTTATAAAGCTTCTGGTGCTTTGAACTGGGTATCATCCCTTCATAACTTAGTTTCCTGCTTAGACTCAAGCTCATTTCCAAAACATCACATTAGTTTTATGGGTCTTACTGCTTTGAGGTCAACAGAGCTATATCAGAAGAAAAAGTGGTATAAAAATACTAAAGATTTGCATCAATTTTATTTTTCTTAAATCTTGCTTAGCTTTCACAGTTAGCTAAAACCTGTAACAGTCAATGTAGCCAAGAACATATGAAACACATAGGTTTAAATATCAGTTGAAAGAGGGAACTAATAAACAATTTATCTGCCATTTTATCAGTCTGCAGATGTCCTCACTACTGAGTTTTGGCTTCTGATTAAAGGCAATTGTCCATGCTTTTGCATCATTTCCTTTTAACACTCTTATGTCTAATTGTTATTGATTGATTTATTTAATATTCCTATGGTTTGGTTTATGTCGGTGGAAGATGTCATGTATGCCTGTACTTTTTCAAGTAATAATTGGGAACAGGGAAATGGAACGTTTCAGTAATTGCTGAGACCATTGATTATACAGGTTTCTGTACTACAGAGGCCATAAAAACTAATCCTCAAAGCATTCTACACGAAATAGCAGGAATCTGTAAAGTGCAGATTATTTATTCCATGTGACGTGCTAGTTGTACATCAGAGACTTAGGAAATTAATTTTTCTCTTAACCTTTGGTGTGCACAGTTTGCCAGTGAAGCCATTGGGTGCTGTGCTTAACTAGTGATAATTTTCAAGTCTCTTATGTGTGGTTGCATATACATAAATATTTTGATAGATATATATGGGTCATTTTGTGGGTAAGATGACAAATAGTTCTTAATGCTTTTTGACAGAATAGGTGTTTTGGAATATCTTTTTATTTTTTGAAGGGTTATTTGTCTATAGCCTTTGTCTCTAGTCACAGTTCCTAGGCAAGAATTTAACATTATCCAAGACTATCAAAAATCTCAGATATTTCGTAAAAATCAGTCATGGCATTGGGGTGTGTTTTACAAAGGTCTGCTTACAGAACAGAAGAAATTAAAGTAGAAATAGGAAATATCAGAAATACATCCAGAAAAATCCAAAAAGAAAAGATAATGTTTGGATCTTCTGTTTTCCATGTTTCTTCTTTATTTCCATTTTTTCATCAAATTATTATTTGACAACAATAATTTCCATTGTTCTTCAAATTATTGCTTCTGCAGTGTGTTGATCTGAAAGGACTTCTAACAGACAGCAGACTGTTAATGTGTGTCAGCATAATTCAATATTGCATGCATTTGACATTTCTGAACTCATTGTTGCTGGAAAGCATCATGCCAACAGGTTTTTAAGCTCTTTCTCCTCCTCCTTTGTGAGTAACTTCAGGATCTCTTGCATCGTCAGTCTTGATGATCCAGTGAAAGTCTGGGCTATGAAAAGGTTGAAAACTAGATTGGGCAAGTCTCTGAAAAATAGACTATAGAAAATATTGTGTTGGGAAGAGGATGCAGTGGTGGACAACTAGTAACACTTAAAATATATGTTTTTATGTATATGTCTATATATATCTTCAAACTTTTACACATTTTTTTACAAACATGATTTTTTCCAAACTGTTTATAGTCTCTAACATGGAACAAAGAGAGGATGCATGTAAACAGTTCACATAGGTGAGATTATATAAATTATGCATGAGGCCAGAATGGGATGGATTCTGGGAGAAATAGGCATTCAGGAAATATGATTTCAAGGAGAATGGAAAGAGAAAAAGTTCTTGCTAGGCAAGAAAAAGGAACCTTTCCCATCTTAAGGGATTTAGTGAATAATAAATTGGAAAGGATAAGAGGGAAGAAAGAAATGATTGGTTGAAGAAGCAGATGTAAGGACTAAAAAGAGACAAGCAGAAAGCAGTTTAGCTGGTGTTACAAAGCTAACATCTGTCAAAGATTAACATGGAGTATTACATGAAATCATAATTATCCTTTACACTTAGAAATTTCTATAGCAGTGTATAATCAATGCAGATATTTTCAGGGGAAATTACATGTGGAAAAAAAAATACCTAAGGGCTTGAGTGTAAGGTGGTTTTTTTATGCAGTGAATTCTGATCTGAAACACAGAAGTCAACAGTTCTGGACGACAAGTCAGGCCTCAGATCAAGAAGTTAGTGAGGCAGTTGGGGTTGATACATTCAGGGTTTGGATGAGCTGGAAGATGGATATGTAAATCACAGTGAAAATGGAGAGAGCAATGCTGCATAGATTCTGCGGTGAAAGTAGTAAGGATGATTTTAAGTGCACTGAGAACAAGAAACAGAATAAACAGTGAGAGCCTAAGCATGGGGGAAATGAGGAGAGAAAATTCAAGGTGATACAGGTGTTGAGGTCCTGTAAGTTGACAATAGAAACCCATTATGAAAAAATCTCTTGGAGCTAAAACTCACACATTGAAATATATAAATTTCCTTGTGTGCGAGAGGAGGGAAGAGGTAGATGGAAAGAAGCCTATAAGAATATCATAGGTTTTATTAAATGGGAATAAATAGTAATATTTAATAAGAGACAAGCCATTAATAGATAATTCTTACCATATGCCTAAATCTTGGCCACCTTAAACCTTGGCTACCTTTAAAAAGGTTTGCTGATGAAGTTGTATTGATAGTGCATTCTCCACCTTGTACCTCCTCTGAATGTAGATGAAGCATTTACCAACAAGAAGCTGATTTGTATATAATTTAAATCTTTCCCTAAGTAGAAAAAAATTATACCAGTAGAAGACTTGTACTAGTATAATTCTGTCTAGAGTAGGGTTTTTGCCTTTTTTAGTTATGTTGCTTGCAAGTATAAGGGCTTTTCCCTTTGTATCCCTAAAACAGCTATGCCAGCAGAAGTTGTGAGTGTAAGCCATGCCTCACTGGCTTTGAGCGAAGCCACAGTGCTGATGGAGATTTCCTGAAAACTGCCTCCAAAATAATTTGCATCCTTTTAATGGCAATCATTAAGAGTGAGAGGTAAATATTTGTACTTGCATCAGCAGAAAAGCAGGTTGACAGAAATTGTAGTTCCTCACATGGTCTGGGCAGAACTATGCTCTTAATTCCTTCCAAAGAATTTTCTCTGTTCACAAGCAGATGCTTTAATTTATGGTGAGAAAACTAAAGCCCAGATTTCTTTCACATCCTGCACTTCTATCCCTTGCCAGAAATGAGTCTAAGTGTGTAGCAGCCTTGGATTTCATCACCAGGAAGGTAATCACAGTCTGAAGAGGTCAGTAAAGTACATGGCATCTCACAAGACATATTCTTTCTTACTGGCTGCTACAGATGTGAAAGTGTAGCGACTGAACATTAATCTTATTGCAAAATTCTGGCAAATCACTCCCCTGCCTGCGTGGTTAGTTTGTGCATTACACTTGTGGGTGACAACTACATATTTCTGCAATGGGTTATATTTGTGACAACCAAAACTAAAGTAATCTGTGGGGCCTATGAAATCCTTCAGGGAATCAGGGAAGGCTTGTATGGCACTTAGAAATGAGTCCAAACCTGGTGTGTGAGTCAGAATTCAGCTTTGGGCAGCTCCAAGATTTTGATGTGAGATCCTCTTTTAACAGGCTTTTGGCTTCCAGTAAGGGACCGGCAGTATCTGGCAGACAGTGCTGCCCTTTTCATCTTGCTTTTGTTTGCAGTCCTTTGGGGAAAGGGCTAAAATATTCGGAATATAACCTTTCTAAGCATTCTCAGTAGCATGCTTGGAAATGTGGAAGGATTATTTGATAGATGGTTTTCAGCATTCTGGGGCCTGCAGAACCATGGCTAATCTTTCTAATCTTCTTTATCTAAGGTAATCTGTATATTCTATCCTCTCTGCATCTATGTATTTTATGCTGAAAATGCACTGACAAGAAGCTCTAAAATGACTATTTTTGTTTCTTTCCAACAGCTGGCTGTCCAGACTCCTTGATTAAAGAGCTTCATCACTTCAGGATTCTGGGAGAAGAACAGGTGAGTTAGCATCTCAAAGACAGCGCCTTAATGTCATGAAAGATAGACGCTAATGAGACAGTTTCATCTCTCTCAAGGGAGGCAGCGTGTATCTCATGACCCCCAGTGACCTGAAATGTGGGGAAAAAAGCACACAGGAGATAAATGTGATTTTTTTTTTTTTCATTCTATCCATCAGCTTTGACAGGTTATTAATTGGTACATCTGCTATCTGCCACAGTGTTTCAGCTTTCAACTGCAGCAGTAAATAGGCTCTCTATAACCTCAGATAGACAAACAATCTGACTAAGGGATTGATACTTACAGCCACTCATGATATTATCCATCTCTTTTTGTGGCCTTTCTTTTTTAAAAGTGTGTTTCTCATTATAATTATAGCTGTACTTTGCACTCAGAAAACTTTTTCTGTAGAGGAATCTTAGGAAAGCATAAGTGACGTATGCTTTACAACACTCACAAGATGGTCATAGTTATTAGTTTGTCAATGAAATTAACGTACAGAGATACTGAGAAACTGGCCTTAAATTTTGAGACACAAGTCGAATTTTCAAATGCCCAGTACTTCTGAAATTCAAGTTGTCTGTCTCTGAAGTATCTCTCCTAATGTACTGGTTATAAAGCCTAACTGCCTGCTATAGAGTTGTAGGTACTAGGGACTGAAGACCTGAAAGCTGAACATTAGTGTGTTGTACATGAGAATACCTGCGTCTTTTAATGACCCTGGCACCAAGAGACCAAGCTTATACGAGGGCTGTGACAGAGGTAGGAGCAGCTCCTGAAATGTTAATTCCAAGTCTAGTTTCTTAGTTTTTAGATCAGATTATATTGTCAAGAACACCCTGTTGATTTTCTTTTCCCCGTCACTCTCTATTTTATTATTACAGTTAGACCTGCTGGTACATTTTCTGGACTTCCAGTTTTCCTCCACCAGCCCCCCATTTCAGTTGTTACAGAAAATCAAAAGCCAAATTTGTTAGGGACTCTGCTTTTCCTCAGGAAGAAAGCAGCATGAAGGGGAGTGTGGGAGGGTTTGTCTGACAGGAATGGAAAAAAAGACAGAAAGCAAGACTAGGCTAAAGATACTGAAAGCAGGAATCTGGTGAGATTGAGGATTTAGGATGAGGAAATAAAAATAATTGTGAACAGGATTGATGGGGGCAAGAGACTGGTTAGATCCAGCTGACAAATGGAAGGCAGAGTGAGATGAAGCTTGAGGACACTTGGAGACACTGAGCTGATGAAAAAGGGTAGGCTTAGAAACCAGAATGGTGAGGATAAGGGTCTGACAAGGAGCTGGAACCAAGAACTGGAAGAAAATGACCAAATATAGAAACCTGCTAAAGAGACTGGTAAATAAAGGAAGATCTATACTTAAGTTGAACAAGGAGGTGAAGCTAAGCTGAGTAGGATGCATGGGACAAAAGAATTGAAGGAAAAGTAGGGAACAACTAAACCAAGAGACTGCAAGTGTGAGGGAGAGAGCTGAACCAGACAGACTTTGGTAGCAGTACTGGCAGGATCCCTCAGCCTTGCTAATGACCTCTGACGGAGCAATATATTTTAAGTGATGGACTTTCTTTTTATTTCTGGGGTCTTTTTAGGTAAGGAAGTGGTAGACATAAAAATGAAGAGCAAAACAGTTAAGAGTGCAAATGAAGAATTCAGACATTAGGAAATGTCAGATTTAAGATTGTTTATGTAGTCTTGATACTTTCTTTATTCCACTCACCTACCCTTAGACTAAGAGAGTATTAAATTATATGATCATACAAACTTCAGAAGTGGGATGATGGAAACCATGAAGAACTACAAAAGGAAAGATAATTTATTTCTGTCCAATAATAAGAGAAGTCTTGAAAAGAGTAGATTTTGATGAGGAAAACCTTGCTAATCAAATACAGGGGGTTTTTTTGCCATTTGGAATATTTTTGGTATTCTTTTGGACTTTCATCATGAAATTACTCCTCTTTGTATTGAATACACCTAAACAGATGAAAGTTTTGTCATCATGCATTAGGAGCATAAAACTATGCAAATGGAAAGTGGTTCTGCAGAATGGGTCTGACCTATGGGTCTTTCTCTGAAACTGACTGCACTAACAGATTATTTGGATAGAGTAGCTATCATTAGGGTCTTAACTAATGTCTTTGCAAGTAGTGAACATTGCCATAAGGCTTGAATTATGACATAAGCCCATATAGCTATAAAGAAAATTGTAACTATATTCTGTCTTTACAAAAGCATTTTTATCATGAGCATACTGATGACTACAGTAGCTCTTGCTTCAACTTAACACACAGTTAGGGAAAAGCTGTTGCAAAAGCAAAGTAAAAAAAAAAATTAAAGTGCATATAAATGAAGAAAGGAAGGAATTTCAGGCAAAGTTCCTATTCACAGGGATATCTAATTATTTCTTATATTTATTTAGTTATATCTTAGATATTTTTAAAAAGCAAAAGTGTGTCTTTTCCTGTTCTCATGCATACTAGATAGAGGAAAAATCATACTTAATTGTGACACTGTTTTATTCAGACTGCTTACCATTTCAGTATTATCAACAACATTATGTGTTCTTCCACTCCAAGGAACAGTCAAAGAATAATAGGAGCATGTTACTGCTTCATGTCCAAACTTGATTTATTTTTAAAATGCTTATGTATTTAAGGCCAGATTATAAAAACTGAATGGACTATTGTGATAATCTGTACTGATCTCCTTTAAAATACACATTACATGACTTTCTTGGATTAATTCTTGTTTAAACTGGAGTATGTTGCCTAGAAAAACATCCATTCTTTTTTTACAAATCACTTGCAGACATTAGATCCTATTATACCTCTCAGTAGTGAAAGACAGAAAATTTCCAGCCTCTTTTCCTTTCTACCACTCTACCAGCACCAGTGTACTCCCTACATTGCATATTTCTCATTCCTCACTGTCCAGATCATTTACATTTCCAATTGTCTTTGTCCTCTCACAAGGCAATAGGGATCATCATAATAAAAAATTATTTCAGCCAATTCAGAAAAAGCCACCATACCCCTGAAACGGGACTAAAAAATATGTGTATACAGCAAAAGGGAGTCTGTCAGTCAGACTGTCAGCTACATATGTTTCAGACGGAATGAAGGAACTTTTCAGTTTGAAGAGGGCATTTCTGCTGGAGCTTCTGGGTTCCAGTTAAAACAGTGGCTGCCCAATAAGGAATATAATTTCCTTTCTAGAGATTTTTATTTATTCATCTAAGAGGTGCCTTAGTGCTTTTGGACGTGGATGGACACAGATCAGATTCAGCTCATAATCCATTACACTGCTTCCCAGACAGGAATCCTGTTCTGCAACTGTGGGTAATAGTTTCTTCCTAGAAGAATAACTTTACATGTGACTGTGCTGAAAAGTTGTTTGTTTTTAACCCAGTTTACCAACAGTTCACACACCCCTGTAGCATGAATTTAACCATCCATGTTACATGTTCATTACTTCCTCTTCTCACATTGTTACGAGCTTTATCACTGATGTTCTATGTTCTTGGTTTTCTTCCAAGTCACTGATAAAAATTTTAGGTGGCATATGGCCAGGAATCAATATTTTCAGGATCATTTTGGAAACACACCTGCTTAATAATGATTGCCCATTTACAATTATATTTTAGACATGCCAGATAGCTAAGTTTTCATCCTCTTAATACAAGGCAGGCAGCAGCAAGTCAAATGCCTTAGAGAAATCTGCTTCATCAACTCTCTTGCCTTTATCAACCAAATTTCAGTCAAATTAAATTCAAGGACCTGTTCCTGATACAAACTCCTGTTCTCTGCCTTTTGTTCATTGAATATTCCTGGAAATACTGACCATATATAATTTTTATTGATGTCATTAAGAGGTCAAGGTTTTCAGTGGCTTGCGGGATGAAACCACTCAAAAACATGTGTCTGCCTGTGTACTTGTCTATCCAAATAAAATGTTTCTTTATCTAGATGTAAACATTGAAGGAAAACTAATGCTGAGAAAAAAGACTTGTGTTTAACTCGAAGCCTGAAGAGTTACTCATTAATCTTTCTCAAAAGAAGTTCTATAATAATAAAACAGTTGTCCAAATAGTCAAACTTCTTTGCAGTCTCCTGAACAGGTAGAACTCTCATGTCTTCTATTCCCTCAGGAATGTACATTATGGGAAATTCATTCTAGCTGGGAAATCTATCTTTTAAGGTTTATTTGGAGCCAAAAAGTTTTTAAAGAGGCAGTTGTTTTTAGACTTTATGGAAAGAGGAGATCCTAGTATGTGTGGTTAAACAGAAGTGTACAAGCCTCCCTGGTACATGATATGAATTGTGGATACCCAAGGTACCACATAAAACCAGCTTCCAAAGTAAATGGCTTAATATGCAACACGAATACATCTAGCAACAGATTGCTACCTCACTTGATACTTGACCCTTTGAGAAGGTGCCAGAGAGTCTGACCTAGAAAAGTCTCCAAAAGCAGCTTTAACTGGTTTGGTTTGGACCTCCTTTTCACACAATCTCTCAGCGCACAAAAGTCTGTACAAAGCAAAGAGAGTCTTCTGGACATGCAACACCAGGAGGGGTAAAACCTGAAGCTTTCTAACTGTCTTTAGCTCTGTTGAACTTTTTCTTGCAATTTGATTTCACTGTTCATAATCCATCATTTTCACTTGGCATAATGGATGCGGTCCAACATGCTGGCTAACTGCTTCACTTCATAGGTACCTGAGATTGACTCAGGATTGGGATGAAAGATTATTAACTGAGGAGCTTTTGAAAAATAGCACAATATAAGAAAGTTTCGTTTCCTGCAGTACCCATTTGCCTGTCAGGCTGGCTGTCTCTGCAAGTAAATGCAAGTGGTTCTACAAGTGGTGATAGTACAAGCTGCTTACAAAAATACGTTAAAGATGCACTAAATATGGGCTCTGTCCAAATAGAGTGGAAGGCAGGTAATTCAACAAGCCAGTGCCAGAGACAGCAGAGAAAACACTTTAT